TAATGGTAGCTTCTGACCCATTAGTATATCAGTACCTTTGCCTTGAAAAAGGACTTCAGTGAGATGGTTTGGTTTTCTTTTGAGACAAGGTTTTATTGTTATAGCTCAGGCTGGCCTCAAATTCACAACCCTCCGACCTCTAGTACTGAGGGTCTGGGACTACAGATGTCCACCACCATGCCCAGCCTCAAGACTAATATGAGTGCTTTGCCTACATGCCTGGTGCACACAGAGGCAGAACTCCTAGAATTGAAGTTCCGGATGGTTTTAAGCCACCTTGTGGGTGCTGGTAATCAAACCTGGGTCCTCTGCAAGCGTAGCAAGTGCTGTTAACTGCTGAGCCATCTCTCCAGTTACCTAGTCTTGGTATTTTTAGGCAGCTGCCTTAGTTACTTTTATTGTCACTGTGACAAAATACATGACAGAAGCAACCTAACAGAAGACTTATTTTGGCTCAGAGCTTCAGTTTGTCATGGTGGGGAAGGTATGTTAGAGTTCGTGGCAGCAAAAGCAAGTGGCAAAGACTCCCAAATGTCTTGGCAAGTCAGGAAGAGGGAGATCAAAAGCAGGGCCAGGCAGTAACCCTTAAGGCTAACCCCTAATGGTCTATGTCTGTCAGCAGAGCCTGCATTCCAAAGCTTCCACAGCCTCCTTAAACAGTGCCACCAGCCGGGGACCAAATGTTCACACACATGCGCCTGAAGAGCATTTCATATACAAACTGTAACAAATTTATGGAGAAAGCATTTGCGATGCCAGCTTCATGTCTGTAATTCTAGCACACAGGAGACAGAGGCAAGACAATTGTGAGCTTAAGAACAGTGACCAGTGTGAAATTTACATAGTGAGTTCAAGGCCAGCCTGGTCCATATACTCAAATAATGTCTCAACTAATTCACCAATCAGTAGAATGGGGGATAATCCTGGCTCTGCAGAAACAGTTTTCCTTTCTTCCCTCACCTTGTAGTTGCACAGTTTCCCATCCGGTTCTAACGGAGTGATCCAGTTGTTTGTCCGTCCTCCTCTCCTGGAGGAAGAAAGTGCTTTTAGCTTGCTTTCTTGATTTGTATAAGCAGCTTTCCCCCTCTGTCCTAATGTTAAATGAGACAGTGTTACTTTTTAAATTCCTAATCCACTTTGTTCTAGGGACTTAGTATTATTTCTTAGTATTTTCTCATTCCATAGTTTGAGCTCACATGACCTGGAATTGTATCAGCACAGCTCCAGCTTCACTGTGGCATTAACTGCCCATCTAAGCTGCTGCAAAGAGTTGGCTATACTACTTTTTGATAAAACAGTGAAAACGCCTATGTAACAAGAGCACTGAACTATTTATAAATTGATGTGGACATGTTTCAAACAGAATAAGGATTTTTTTTAAACTACATAAATGGAGCTGCCATGTAAACCATCACTTTGTAGTTCTTTCTGCTCCCATATAGTTTAAGACAATGATAAAAATAAAAAGTCTAGGCTCTTTTGTCTGTGAGATGTGTGGATACTCATACAAACACCTTGCAAATACAGCCTCAGAAGGTTCACAAGTACCTTCTCTGGTCCCACAACCTTCTTGGGGTGGGTGGACTTTGGCAAAGGACTCTTAGTAAGAAAAGTCTCATAGTCCCTAAGATTCTTGTCATGACTAATCTCTGGATCTTGTTGATGTTACCTTACCTGACAACAGAGAGAATTAAGATTGTAGATGTAATTCAGGTTGAGTCAGGCTGATCTTGTGGAATTAACTGGATGGCTACCATTAAGGATACTAACCAGCTGACGAGAATCCTTTGCTGTGAGTGCCTGGGGTTAGTATAGTCATGTTCATTCTCACAAGTAAAACCTTCCCTGTCTGTACTCACAGGGCTCAGGACAAGGACTGTAGTCCACATCTGGGAGTTAGGAAAGTATGGAAATGAATTGTCCCCTAGAGCCTCAGAGAAGGAACATAACTCTGCCAGCACTTTGATTTTAGTCCAGCGAGACCCATGTCAGACACACCTACAGAAATGTAAGGTCAGAAGTTATGTTGTTTCAAGCCAATAATACCGTGGTAACTTGTTATACAGCAATCAGAGTGTAATTCGCTACCTCCATTCCATACATATAATTCAGCATAAATGTGACAGCACGTATATTCCTGAAATCTTTGTACAGTTGAGCTAAATACAAAGTTATGTCTTGCAACCTAATTTCAATAAAACGGTAAAATTATCTATTAAAGTAGCAGTCTGAAATCATGTCTTTTTAAAAATAACAAAAGATAGGATGTAGAATTCATGTGAGGAGAAAAATGATTTTTCTCATTTTAGGACTCTTGTTTTAAATTGTGGAATATGTCAGAAAATCTAATGACCCATATGTCTAGCATCTGTGGTTGCAAAAGCTGAATTCCTGAAGGATTTCTAAAACCGATTCTTCAGATGTGTATAAAATATGAGACTTGTAATGTCAAAAAGAGCAACCACATAAATAATTGAAAAGAGCCGTTGCCCAGCACCATCTCTCCATGGCTTCAGACATCAGTGCAAGAGGAAGGAGCGTTCTTAGTTGGCAAAGTTGCTCTCTCTGCTTACTCTCTTTACAGTGACGTGTGCCCTCACTGTGTTTGTGATGGAAATAAAAACATAACATCTCTTTTGAACTTAGTATAAAGATCAGTATTTTTCCTGTATAATTTTTTGCCATATGGTTGCACTATCTCCCGTTGTCTCTGCTCTTTCCTTGCATTTCAAAGTATGTTTTCCATCACTTCTCCCTTCTATACCTACACTACACTCGGGGTTACTGTATCCTCCTAATTTATAACTATCATCACAGGTCTGTTTGCTGCCTAACCCATATATTGTTTCTATTTTGTTTTAAAAGTATGTCTTAAAGTTTGTAGTTGGCCCTGTGCTTATACAGTGATTTGTTATTTTTGTTTTTGTTTGTTTTGTTTGTTTCCAGATAGAGGAATTAAAAGTGGCCCTCAGATTGTCTAATCCCTGGGATCCTGCCATAGAGCTCTCATATTAGCTGCACCTGTGGCCTCACAGTGGCAGGGTTTGAATTTTAGGACTGTCTGAATTCTTTTCCCTACCAAATCACAAGCCTTCTTTGGATATAGAAGCCTTTCTGTACTGTTTTGGTATTTGTACCTCACTGGACTCTGGTTTTCAGTGGTTCTCATCCAGATTTTTTATGTGATTTTCAGTATAATTTTTCATACCACCCAGGATATACAAAATCGGATTCTCCAGCTGGGGACCCAGCTGGCCATTCTGTCTTGTCTCTATTGGTTCTTTCTATCTAGAGTGAGATGCTAGCCCATACTTCTGTTCTGTATATCACTGTAGGCTTGTCTAGCTTTGATTTTTAAATCAGCTATCCTTGTGGGGAGGGTGTGCTATGCATGGAACCTAAGGCTTTGCATGTTTTGGGCAAGCATTTTACTATTGTGCAATATCTCCAGCATTGCTGCTACTGCTGCTTCATGTATATTTCTCGTACAGGGGTGGGTATATGCTTATTGTTCTTGAGACAGTGAGCCCTAGGATCTTCCTGCCTACTTCCCAGTGTCTGGATCACAAATGTGCACCACTGTATGCAGCTTTGGTGAGTTCTGAGGATCAAATCTGGATCTTTTATTAGTAGTAGAGATATTAATACTTTTTTATTTACTCGTGTGTGTGCACATGTACTAGTGCCACAGTGATATGAGGGTTATTTTCAAAAGTTGATTCTCTTCATCCACATGTGGGTTCTGGCAATCAAATTTAGGTCATTTGCAGCAAGCACCTCTCCCCACCAGGCCATATAGCCAGCCCCAAAACAGATATTCGTGCTTGTGCGGTAAACATCTTACCAATAAAGCTGTCTTCCTAGCCTGTTTCTTTGTCCTTTATTTTAGGGAACTGAATCATTTCCACCACCACCCCCACCCCCAGCTCCAGACTCTGCAGGCTGTGTCCTGCTGGCTTCACAGTCATTGCTATGTCATTCTTGAGTTTTTTATTTTCTTACTTTTAAACTTAAATATGTTTTGTTGCTGTTGTAAATTGCTATCTATTATTTTTATTTTGGAATGGAATAGAACTTTCCACCTGGCCATACTTGTCACTGATATTAGAAGCATATAACATTTTTTCTTGTTAGATCAATTCGCAAACAGACAGCCCAAAAAGTTATTATAAATAAGTTTGGTTTTATTTGTAACTTAAAAACTGTAGACAATTTTTTTAAATACTGAATATGCTTTAGTCTAACAGTGGTTGACAAGTAGGAAAACTAGTTTTCCTTTTTGTTACATAACAGTTCATTTTTGTAGTTTATATGCTTGTATAAAATTAGATAAAAATTACTTCATAATTTTTAGAAAAACACAAACTTTAAAAATAAGGTGAACTTTTGGGTTTGATTTTTAAATACAGGGCATGTGCATGTGCTATAACATGCATGTGTAGGTGAGTGCACGGCTCTCTGGTGGTGGTTTTCCTGCTTCCTGTGGGGTCTAGTTACCAGGCTTGATGCAGGCATCTCTTCCTACTGAACTGTCTCTTTAGTCCTGTTTTATTTGTTGAGATTGGGTCTCATGTTGCTCAGGTTGGCCTGGTAGCCCCTATGTTCTTCAAAATAAATGCCTAATCTGCCTACCTCTACCTCCAAATAGCTGAGATTACCAGCGTGGGCAGCCACACCTGGCCTAGATAGAACAGTTCTGGCTTCATTCATTTAACCATTGACCCACACCTGGCCTAGACAGGACAATTCTGGCCTCATTCATTTAACCATTGACCCACACCTGGCCTAGACAGGACAATTCTGGCCTCATTCATTTAACCATTGGTGTTATCTTCAGGGTACCTTTGTGTCATCTTTGTGTCAGTACATCCAATTCTGTCTTCATCATCCCCAGCAGTTGCTTCAGTTGAATAATGGGATCTGCTTTACTCTAATGGCATTCTTTGTCATATCAGTCCAAAACTGTTTTTTAAACTTAGTTTTTCTTCCTTTTTTTCCAGACATACAAAAATAAGGTGACTGCAGACACAGTGACACCTGCAGAAAAAGATCAGCCACTGATTTCCTCTCCTCTGTATATGTCCCACCCTGTAAGCCAGAAAAAGAAAGATGTCTTCCATATAAACCACACAACCTTCGTCATTGGAGAAACACCAAAAGGAATCCGCAGGTATGTTGTATGTGGCAGCACTAGACTTCAGGCCAATTCTCAGTAGAAATATAGCTTCATAATAAAATATATAATTATAACCATTCCTTGTATCCAAATTTCAGAAAATCTGAACTTATAAAAATAAAAACAAATGCTTTTGAGACAGGCTCTCACTAAGTAGCTCAGACTAGCCTAGAGTTTGCTATGTATAGTCCAGGCTGGTATTATGAATCTCCTGCCCTAATTCCTGAGCTCTGGAATTATGGAGATGTAGGAGTATGGGACAAACATGGGAATGAGGCAGTCTCCAGGGATCAGGTGAAGAAATGAGGAAGCCAGGATTTCGATGGTTTCGCCACACATAGCTATTCATGTTACCAAGAATGGTGTCAAGAGATGGTGAGGGAGCACAGCCAGCCTGGCTCTTCTGACCTCTGTGGACAGTGGAGATGATATACGCTCCTGCTGAGAGTTGTTTTCTGAGCTGCCTGGCAAAGGAGAAGCACCAAAGTCACTCGTAGAGCTGGCATAAGGCCAGGTCTTCATCTTGGCTGGCAGGCTTGCGGCAGTGATTTAACAGGCTTTGCTTTTTCATTGTGGCCAGTTATTCTTCCAGAAGACTCACTATATTTCCCCATCCTCAAAGAAATTTGGGTCTTGGTCCTTTACACACAGCAGTGATTTCTTCTTGCTTCCCTTTCATTGTTTTCTCGACCTATCCCAGAGAAGAACTTTCTCATGCCAGGTAAAAAGGTAGAGTAATATTAGAATTCCAGGACCTGCTTACACACCCCACCCCTGCCTGTCACCACCATACTCAGTCAGAGTCAAGGCTGTACCTTGTAGCCACCAAGCGATGGACTTCTTGGGGCTTTCAGCACCTCTAACCCTCAGAAAGCAAAGGCAGTGACATGGTGATATCAAATGTGGTCCAGCCCCTTCCCAAGAGGAAAAATGCTTTGGAATTTTAGCATCATAACTTCTGATAGACATGCTAATGGATTCCTAACTTGGTTTTTATTTTCCCTTTTCCTAAAGCTACTCTACTAATATTTTTCTCACAAAAGTGGTTAGCTTATTTTCTGATAACACCTTGCATAACACTTTTGCATTTTCTTTAATTCTTAAAGAACATTCTATTGAAGTCCTTGAATTAGGAAAATGAGTTGGAAGGCAAAAAATAATCATTCTGTAAAGGGCAGCCACGGGCATAATTCACTCAAAGACTCCTTGGGTTAAATACTGGTTAAGCAACTCCTCCCAGGTGTGACCTACCCCAGGGATACAGGTGAGATCATGCATTGTCTTAGCACATCAGAAATAAAGTTACTTTAGCATCTGCCGCGACATCACTAAGTCTTGGATGAATAAAAGATACCACCTAAAACCTTACTGCTCAATAAATCTTTATAAATAAGTACATTTATTGGGTCCTAAAAATGGATTTGGAGATACGTAATAGAATGATCCCATCCTATTACTTCAGCTGATATGAAAATGAAACTAGTTAAGAGCATGCTTGTGTTCCAACAAGAACATTGGCAGTTTCCAAGACAGACAAGTTTCTAGGACAAGTGTGTTTTTACTTGTAGAATGACATACACTGTTGTAGCTAAGTGTGACTATTGATCAGGTGTGGAATCTCTGAGTTTGGGATGTGTGACAAGACACTAGTGAGCTCCAAAAGCTATGACATTTGTCTCAGCCATACAAGCATGTAGGCACTCACCTTAGGCTGCCACTATGGCCACAAGAGGCATAGTTTCTGTCCTGTGAGGCAGAAACAAATAAACAAGAAACCATAAAAAGTGGTGATGTTAATGCTCCTAGTCATATACCTTTAAAACCATTCCCTAAGAATGTTATATGTAGGACAAAATTCAGCCGTAAAACCTGCCAGTGCAGACCCATGATTGCTGGCCACTTGTGCATTTTCACTTGTTCTGCTGTGCTCTGAATCTCCTGAGAACTGGCCTTGAACGGTTCTTGGCTCATGCTTACCTGACAGGTAGAGGTGACAGCAGGAAACCTCTTCTCACCCTGCTTGCCCACCAGAAGTCTCACCCACTGTGACTGCCAATGGAGCTGAAGTCACTCCTTCATCACAAGACTCTACCTTGATTATTTTGCTTTGACTCCCGTAGCTAGATTGAACTTTGTGAAGCAGGGGATGGGGGTCTTTTTTGCTGTTGTGTAGTTTGTACAGTGGCACCTAGGATATAAGAGGACTCTGTTGTGTCAAGTAAAATACAATTCTAAACCTGTGGAGCCTTTAACGTGCACTGCAGAACTGGCTCTGGTTTTATCTGAAGATAAATGTGCTGGCATTGAGATTAAAGCTCAAGCACAGCATCAGCAAAGAAATACACTATATCTTATTTTTAGTGGCGAGGGGGATAAGACAGAGTCTGTTGATGCCCAGACTGGCCTTAGACATACCATATAGCTGAGGATGATCAAGAACTCAACCCTCCCACCTTCCCATCCAGACAATTGGGAGCACAAGAATGTTTTACCATGCCTGGCTCAAAACTGGGACCATTTAAAACACCATTATGCTAGTTCCCTATTCTGTCCTTATGAAGATCTTAATCCTGTGGGACCCATGCCTTACCCATGACCTTATCTTCAACCTGTAGGTCCTTTTGCTGATATTGTCACATTGGACTTCAGTGTGTCTAGGGAGCAGGCACAATTCAGATTTCAAATCCTTCCCTGTGGAAAGGAGCAGTCTGTAGCTCAAGGAGCCTAAGTACTTTTCTGCCTCCACTTTACCAGGGCTCCATATTTCTGTGTGTGTACATATAGAAGTGTTTGTTGGTCTTATTTTAGGATGACAACTTACTTCTTCAAATAACATCTTACTCTTTTTGTTTATTTGCTTTCTTTGGTTTTAAAACAGGGTCACCCTACATAGCCCATGTTACCTCAAACTTTCCATCCTCTTGCCTTTTGAGGACTAGGATGGCAGCTATGCACCACCAGGCTCAGAAAATAGTATCTGGCTTCTGAGATGAGTTGTCTGCACTAAAGTTAAATCAGCCAGGAGAAAGAACTACGGTTACAGTTTTTCTTTTAAGCTCAACAAAAAGCCATGTAAAATTCTGTACTGTGAGGTAAAGGGCAATTTCTCTTTAATTTTTTTTTAATTTTCTATTTATCAAAGCCATTCTTTAACAATATTATTCTATAGGACTTGCATACAACATAGATTCTCAAATACAAATTGTATAAATGATGATTCTCCTGTCAGTCATAAATTGGCTGACTGAAGGAGTAGCCTGCCAGGCTCCCATAATTCCCAGGAAATACATAATCATATAAATCAGAGTTACCTAAAAAGCGGATGATTTAATGAGCTAAAAGACCATTTCTAGGTCCTTTAGGGAAGAGGCATGTTCTCCAAGGATGGAGTTAAATTGACGTCACCAGACAGAAAAGGTACCTTGCTTTGCCTTTATGTTTCCAGCTACTGTTAATGAGCACATTAAAAGTTCTGAACTGCATTGCTGTGTGAGTGCGGGCACACATGCCACAGAGCATGTGTAGAGGCCAGAGAACAACTTTCTGGAGTTGGTTCTGTCTTCTCCCTTAAATAGATTACAGGGATTGAACGCAGGTCTTTAATTGTATTTGCTGAGCTATCTCAACAGCTTCCTGATGAGGTCTTTAAAAATAAATGTAAATGTAATAAAAAGAAAATAACTGCTAGTTTTATCTGTTCAATCTTTAGAAAGCAGTTTGAAGAAATGGCCTCTTTCTACAAGCTGACTGTAAAGGAGTTTGCTAAACAGGTAACTGGCGCCACATCTGCAGAACGACAGAGCATGCTCCGAGACTTCTACAGTCTTCAGCACCCGGAGGGAAAGGAGTTGTTAGTGGACTCTGCTTCAGAGATGGTCAGATCTGTCCACAAGGAAGAAGAGAAGGTCAGGAAGAACTCTAAAGAAAAAGAATCTCTTTTAAGAGAAAAGCCCTCAAATGATAATACTTTGTCATGTAATGATCCCACCAACAAAATGTCTCAAGTCTACAACCCAAAATTATGTGAAGGAAAATCAAGCAGATGTCACAATCATAGTTCCCATAAAGAAAAGACATTTTGTAGTGATACAAAAATTAAGAGATCCTCTGTCAGCTTTACTCAGGAGACTGACAGTGAGAGGAATGACCACACACCCAAGAACACCACGACACTCTTCCATCCACACAGCAAGTCTGACACCCTGAAGACAGAGCTAGGAGATACCCCAGGACAGCAGCACAACCTCACAGGCCCATGCAGTTCAAGAAGCAGGGCAGAAAATCCAATGTCAGACAATACCTCTGTAGAAGGCTTACTGGGTGACACCTCTATTCTTAATGACCTCTTTAAAAGCCGTGGGGAAGGTCCCACACGGCTGCCAAAAAATGTTCTTTCACGACCTGTGGCAAAAGCAAAGCAGAAGCCAAAAGATTTCTGGGACATCTTGAACGAGCAGAATGATGACAGTCTCAGCAAACTCACTGATGTGACAGTGATAGAGACGCTGTGTTCGCACACACCCCGCACCACAGCCTCCACAAGGAAAGATGAAGTAGATGCTTCGCTTTGGAAAGCAAATGATAAGTTTTTATGGAAAACATTTACCTCAAATGTTGGTGATAAAAGCATAACGAGTACAGAGGGAGAGTAGGACATGGGTGTGCCATTAAATTAGTGTATTGTAAGCTGCTGGCCATTTATTGTTCTAGATGGTATTGTATATAAGCATGGTAAACAGCTGTTTGCAGACATTTATTACTAAATTGTTACTTTAGTGTTGTTTCTACAGCCCAAAATGTTATCATGGGTTGTCTCGCCTTAATATCTGGTTTAATCATTAACATCCAGTTTATGTAGTGCTGGGGATCAAACGCAGGACTTCATATACACCAGCAAGCACTCTGGCCAACTGAGTTCTATTTCCTGCCCTGATTTGATCTAGGGAACAAATGTAATTGTATCATATTATAAACTCCTATTTGTCAGTGAAGCCCTGTGTGATTCTGTGGCCTTACGTGAGTGACTTTTCCTGTATGTGCCTCTTCCTCATATGAAAGATAACAGAACTGAGCCAGATCAGCACAGAGCCCTCCACTTTTAAACTCCACAATCCCCAAATCAAGTGGCAGCCACTATACTCTTCTCACTGGCATTGTGAAGTTATTGTATTCCTTCTTCCTTGGAATAATGTTCTGTAACTATTAAATTATCTTAGATAAAAGTTGTAATTAGGACTCAATATATGGCATTATGTTAAAATGGAAATTTTATAACCACTCAGAGTCCTGTATAAGTTAGTGAGCTGTGATGCTAAAGTGATGGGATTTTTGTCTTTGGCCAGGATACCAATGCCTTAACTTTTCACATTACTATGATTTAGTAAATTAAGATTTGTATTTTAACTTTGTATTTCTTAAGTAGAAGGAAATGGATAAACATTTGGTTTTAATTGAAACCTCTTTATTGAACTTAGTATGTGTGGTATACATACTCTGGCATGTGCTCAGTTGGATTTATTTACTTGTAGCATTTTCCAGCTGCCAGTCTGTGACAGGTGCTGGAGTGTATAGGTGACAGCTACAGGTGAAGCCAAGTAGGTCCTGCCTGTATAGCCCCCAGGATTGAGGCTGGCACACTGAGGTGTCAGGCTGGTCCCTGCCCACACTCAACTAAGCTTGCAGTACTGATGTAGGAACTATCCATCCAGAGAATAGCAGCCTCTCCAGGTTCCCCACACACTGGAGTACTTGAAAGTTATCTTATTCGTTTCTTTGTTCTCTTTCAGTAAGAACCTCATGAACCCGTAATGGTAATGTTGTAACAGTGTTTTAGTTCACCTGAATCTGTGTTTCCAGGGCCGAGGTCCTTGGTATTTGGCTGTGGGGAGACTGTGTTTGCAGGAGCAGAAACCAGCCCCCAATGACTGCAGTACTCTCAGTGACCGAAAAAAAGAGAGGGGCTCCCAAAGTCTTCTCAATCTCTGCTGGCTTCTAGCCCCACTGCAGTCCCAGGGGATCAGGGTGGAGGCCTTTTATTAGGAGAGCAGGCTTTGGATTACTCAAACTAAGAGCTGCTGCCAGTTAACCGCCTGGCTATTTGGGGCACACCTAGGTTGCTGGGTAAGTCAGAAGCGTCCAGGGATAGGTGTGCCACTCCGAAGACGGCTGACCTTCTGAGGCTGGGCAAGGCGCAACTGAGTTCCTGGGCTTTTCCTTTTCCATCTGCAGCAGGACGGACCACAGCCAATTGAGTTTGGCCTCACTCTGCGGGCTAACTGCAGACCCCGGGAGCCCCAAATGAGAACTTCTGTATACTCCGGTGCCTGGCAGTTCCCGCGAAGGGTCCACGAAGCCTGAGCTGGGGCCTAGCGCCGCTCTAGCTCCCTATGGCAGGGCAGAGAATCTCCTCTAAAAGAGAAGAAAGGCTAATGGAATAAAGCTCTGGCGGCAGCGATGGAAAACTCCGGAGCTCACGCCAGTGGGGGCGCGTTATCGGCCACCTGCCGTGCAGCATCCCTCATCCCTCACAGGGTGAAGCCGTGGGTGGCCCAGCTTTGGGGGTGCAGGGAGTTTGAAGGACTTTCGCCCAAAGGCGGGGATGTTGCGAGTCTGCGATTCTGTGGCGTCCCTATAGTATCCTAGCAAGGGGGTGAGCATGATCGCCTGGAGCGGGTGGTTGGTCGAAGGTCCGGGTAGGGATATGGACAGTCATTAGGTGGGGACCCCCGCGGGGCACAGCTTGGAGCAGTGGGCTGGTCGAGTAGACCGCAGGCCGAGAGGTCCCGCCCCCAGGAGGCCGGAGGCGCTGGCTTTTGCTGTCTAAATCTTTCTCAGCTGATCCCCAAACCACTGTCTTGGGAAGCTGCGGGCGGAGGCGCCCCCCCTCCCTGCAAGCACCTAGACAGAGCTGCAGTGCGAGGAAGGAAGTGGGAAGCTGATAGGGTGGAACTCCTAGCAAGTTCCGGGCGCAGTGTTAGCGAGCGCCCTGGGGACGCCAGGGACGACAGGCACGCCCCGCAAACGCGGCAGGCCAGCCCGGGAGGAAATCGGACTTAGCACCTTGGCGAACTCCACTTAGATTCCCCCGCCAGCTGCCCCGGGAAGCGACCCCCCCACGTCCAGAAGCACTCCCCACGCCGGTGCACGCCCTACCCCTGCTGGATGAACTGCCAGTCCTAGGCCACAGACCCCCTAGGACAGACTCTGCGGCTACCTTCCCTGCCCTCCCACCTTAAGGCTTCCCTCTAGGCCAGCGCCTTCTGCCAAGCTTCCATTCCCAACCTGTTATCACGTCCTGGAGAGAATGTCTCTGAAATATTTCCTGAATCCCACTGCCAAGAGCCTCGAGTTTCCGTCCTTCCACCTCCCATCTGGATGCCTGCGGATTTCTCCTCGGGTTCCCAGGCTTCGGCCTCCTCCCTCTCTAATCCATTTTCCACACAGCAGCCCCAAAGCCTGTTGAAACACAGGACCTTGGCTGTAAACCTCTCGTTTCCTCTGTTGGGGGGCCCGGGTAAAGGGATTGGCCTGGGGAATAACTACATCAGTTCGCATTTATTGAGCATTTAGTGTGTCGTTTAACATTTCAAGTGGTTTTCACATTTAATCTGCCCAGGACCTCTCCTGGGCAGGTGCTATCTGTTTTATTGAGGAAGAAACTTAGGCATGGAAGCCACACAGCCCTGCGTTGGCAACAGCTGCTCCAACTCTGCTTCTCCCGGAAGCACCACAATCCTGAGTGGAAGGACCCACAGCAGAAAGCTTGGGAGCAGACATTTGCCGGGTTCTAGTCATTGAGTGGACCAGGCAGGTGAGGTCAGGTTGGATTTGCTTTGGCATACCTCACAGGTGTTTATGCCTTTGATGGACTAAAACTCTGAGTCTCAGGCTAGCACAGAGGCATTTGGCTTCTGAGTCCTGGGGTGCCGCTCCTCCCTCCCAAGGCCATAACATTGTTCTTGATAAGCAGTGTCCAGGAGCTCCCCCAAGACAGAGGGACTCTTCTGCCTGTCATTCAGGACCTTCAGGACCTTCAGTGCCCCCTGTGCTCTTGCATCCCAGCCTGCCCATCTCTGGCATGTCCTGGGCCCCATTACTGGGGAGAGTGGGATTCCTGTCTTTAATTTATGACTGGGAAATCTGGAATCAACAGTGGGCCTTTTCTAGCCCACCTCTCAATCCCAAAATGAGAGTGCCTGGCCCTACTTTTCTGCCTAGGAGTAAACAAAAAACTCTATACCCTCTCTGGCCCCAGCCCCTCTCCTGTGGCCTGAAATGGAGATGTTGGGATAGCAGAGAGCAGGAGACCTTGATTTGCTAGCTGAATGTGTGTTTTTACTTCTGTGCACCTACCTATTACATGCAATACTTAGTGCTTGAGCTTGTATCTTCTGGTATATGTGCTTATTAGCAGCTTTATAATTTTTAATTCCTTTCCCTGTATAGATCCATAATAGGACAAAGACTTGCTTCCCTTCAGGGGGCAAGAACTATCACCCTGTCATTCCTCACCACTGAGAGGATCTCATGTATCTCAGGCTGGCCTCAAACACACTATGGGAGAATGCCCTTGACTCTTGGTCTTCCTGCTAGTATAGGTTGCAGAGGACGGTGCCACCATGCAGGCTCTCTCAGGAATGGGCCACGTGATTATAAGCCTGCTTCCTATCAAATGTGTTTTCAGTGCTTTCTGTGTTAAACCTCAGATACATAATATATATATTATATGGCTTCAGATTATATATATATATATGTGGTGCTATGTCAGAACGGAGCGCTGAGCACCACCCCATCCCTGACCCTTCCATCCTTTTTTACTTACCCAACAGCTAGTCCCCCATGGGGACTAGAAAGGCACTGGGAGGAACCAGCTGTAAGCTGCCTTGGATCTGGGCAATAGTGGGTGGAGTGGCAGGCCTGTGGTCTTGATGGGAAAGGCCGGAACTCAGCTTTGAAAGCTACCAGGTTGCAGGGTGCCTGCTTACAACTCCGTAGGTGAGAGAGCCTGCAGGGCTGTGTGCTGGGGAAAGAGAGGTGCTACAGGTCTGTGATCTAATAGGTCTATGGATCTTCCTGTGCATTGATACTTTGTATCAGCATGTGCCTGTGGCAAATGGTTTGATTCTTAGGCCCGCTTAGCTGCTTGACTTTAGTCCTTGGCTGAGCTCAGGATGCTCCATATTCAGCGTGTCTGGAGTGGATGTCTTCATAAGAGTCAACACTCTTCCCTGTCCTTAACTCCTTACTTAGTTAGCAACAGCAGAATATGACATTGGCCAGGTTACCAAATCTGAGCACGGTAATTTTTATTTGGGTGTATCCATTTTCCTCACCAGTGACTCTTCTCAGGAAGCCAGTCAGTCCGTGAGCTTTCATGACTTAAGTATATTTCAATCTGAACCCTGCCTGTCCATAGTTCCACCGCTGTCACTGTCCAGTGCAGATCTTTCTTCTTTTTGTTAGGCTTCCTAGAGAACTCCATTATTTTTTTTTTTCCTTTAAAATTTTAAATCTGTTCTTTGGTAATTTTGGTAATTCACATATAAATGCAATGTATTTAGATCACAACGACCACCCCATTCCCAACTCTTCCTGGAGCTTCTTATAATACAGATCAATCATTTATAAAAGAAGTAATTTGTTGAAGATATCACAAGTTAATCACGGGCGTAGCTCTGCTTGAGGAGGACCTTGATAGAATAGAGACCACCCAGCCTGAGGTCAGCAGCACTCTCTGAGGCTGACTTCATTTCTCTATGCCAAAACATTTGGTCCTCTAAAACATTTGTCGCTATGTGGTTTAGATCTGGGCTGGTGAAGCACAGACTTGCCTCTAACTTTGTGTAGCTGAGGGTGGCCTTGAACTGATACCACACCCAGTTTAGACAGTGCATGGAACAGGGCATGGAACCCAGGGCTTCGTGCAAGCTATGTAAGTATGGAACCCAGGGCTTCGTGCAAGCTATGTAAGTACTTTACCAACGAACCAACATCCCCAGCTGTCACCCTACTGTTCAGTTGATCACAAGAACTAACTTTGACAGCACAGGGAGCAGGGCTCAGTGATGAGTTCCATGTTCTTGTACCTGAAGCAAAGATGCACTCTGCAATTACTGTGTAGTAACCCTTCTGACCTCACGCTCCAACATCTCTAATCTTCCTTAAAGAGTTATTTATTTTTCCATGTGCGAATGTTTGCTGCATGCACCACCGTGTGCCTAGTCCCTGCAGACCAGGGACGGCATTGGAACCCCCGGAGCTGGAGTTGCTGATGATTATGATCTGCCATGCGGGTGCTAGGACTTGAACCCCAGTCCTCTTGCAAAAGCAGCTCCTTCTCTAGACTGCTGAGCCATCTCTCCAGCCCTGCCCATGCCTGATTTTATTTTGTAGGCACTGCCTCTGTGCTCCCCTTATAACCACCAT